TATCCGGTTGAAATTCCATTCATTTATCGTTTTGCTTATAGAAATGTCGTAATAAGTTACTGGATGTACTAATGCTACGAGTTTGTCATTCTGTTGGTCACAAACTTTTATTCACAAATAAATACCTGATACAGCTTTACTAATAGCAAGTGTTTGACATTTATATTATTTAAGCATTTATCTTTTATGATGATTACAAAATTGAAGGATAATGAAGACGGTTTTCACTTCTTCAGTGGTAAAACAGTATGTAGTTATACAAAGACTGAGAAACAACGATTACCTCACTCAAATGAAAGTTAAGTAATTTGCTTCCTTTCAGTAAGGCTCCCCAATGGAACAGTGGTATATCTGTGGACTTACAACGCTAGAAACCGGGTTTCGATACCCGTGGTGGGCAGAGCACAGATAGCCCATTGTGTAGCTTTGTGATTAACTTCAAACAAACAAACAAATCTTTCAGTAAGATACAAATTATTACTGTCATTATTATATATATAGGTTGTTTAATTTGGTAGTTGTATTTACAATCTGTAAAACTTGGTCAAATTAACAGGTCGTTTAATTTGGTAGCTGTATTTACAATCTGTAAAACTTGGTCGAATTAACAGGTCGTTTAATTTGGTAGTTGTATTTACAATCTGTAAAACTTGGTCAAATTAACAGGTCGTTTAATTTGGTAGCTGTATTTACAATCTGGTCGAATTGTTAATTCTTTCTAGAATGTTTATAATTTTAAAGAACAAAGAAATTCAGAGAAGTAACACCATTATCAGTTTACTGAACAAGCGTTAATAATAGAAACATCTTGAGATCAACGTTAACTATATCAGAATGATAAACATATTTCGTTTTCTGAAATAAGGGAACAATGAATTTGTGCTTTACCTCATACATTTTTCCTTATAGATTAGAAACTGGTTTTTATTTCTTTGCTCTCTCGTTTTTTATTGTTGGTTGTTAAGTTACGATATACATTGTCAGATCACAAACATACATTTTTTTTTATGCAGTCCAACTTTGCTATTGGACCAAAGTTCGAGGAGTTCCTAGGATTAGCACAAGCTATGGATATTTATAACCAGAGCAAGCTTCACTTTAGTAACGGTAACTACTACCAGGGGTTAGAGTCTATTTTGGAATCGTATTATGATATTTTTCGCCGTTTGAATTACGGTGAATCCCAAGGAAAAAAGACCGCTTCTCATAGTAATGTAGGAATAGCAGTTGGGCTGAGTGTTGGTTTCGTGGCTTTGGTTGCTCTCGCAATAGCGTTTGTATGTTGGAGAAAAAGGCGTCAGCAAGCATCCAGTGATAACAACCGTATGACCTTGGGTAAAGAAAAATCAGCATGGGAAGAAAAAGGTAACTTGAAACCTGTACCTATAAACTATCTTATCTCGGCCACTAAATACGCTCCATGTAACGTAGAGGATCCCGATAATGCTACCAAAAACATGGACGACGATGGAGAAGGACTGACGGAAACTCCAATGCTTCAAGCACAGGACCACTGGACGATTCCTGAAGTAACGGAGGAAGAAACAGATAACGAACAGTACGGGAAGACTGTTGAAGAAATATTTCCTACACATCAGGAAATACATACAGAGGTTTTACAACCAGGAGACAAAAACAATGAAGGTATTGAGCATCGCAACGTCGTCGAAATGTAAATAATGGAGCGGATTGAAAAAAAAGACGAATCAATCCATCGCTCGTAAAAGAAATATCCATTTTAGCTTCGAGACGATGTGAAATTAAACAATGTATTTGACTTATACAAACTTTTACTTCACACTTTAATTATAGTGATGTTCTAAAAATTTGTTACTACCCGCATCTCTTAACTGTTCCAATACTGGCTCGTTTCTTACATAAAAACAATTAATAAAATGAAATGACTTTAATATGTAAAAATCACATTTCCCAACTCCAAAAAAAAAAAAGCAAAACAAAGGATTATTAGTAATTTGTAAACTGTTATTAGAGTTTTCCATGAAGTGAAGAAAATATATGAAAATGAAATCAAAACAACTCGTCAATTGGTTTGATTTTTTCTTAATAATCAAGAAACGAAGTAATTTAGCCTTGCTACATCGTTGATTAGCTAGAATAGATATTTCAGGAAATCACAGACCAAAGACATAAATACTTATTGTTTGTTCTTAAAACTTGATACTTCTGAATTGTAAACATAGTATGCCCTTTTTGTAAAACTCTTGAGCTTTGCATTTATAATTGTTTTATATTTTTTTGAAAGCGAAGACTATGCATAGTGGAAATTACTTCTGGTGTTACACTGCACATTCCACTAGACTGTTTTATACAACCGAACTTTTTGTTTCTTCAAGGATTTTAAATAGAAAAGAAAATTATGGAGTTTCGTAAAAACATTACGGAAAACTAACTACATCTTTTACTTCGACGACATTGTACTTGGATATTTCAATTATTGTTCTTAAATTTTTATTTTTTTGCACACGCTTCAAAATTGTCAAAGGGCTGAGAGGTTTCCGATTTGGATTACGTGTATTATATATATATATATATATCAATTGGAAAATATCGTGATTTCTATTTATGAGGATTATGTGGTAGTGTACTCATAGAATCACCCATAAAAATATACCAATTCACGAAAGATGGAAACTGTGAGTGAGCTGAAGGTCCACATAAGATATAATATTGGAGAATGAATTATTCACAAACTATAGTCATTGACTCACAAAAGTCATTTCTGTTATATTTAAGTATACCATGACTAACACATTTCCATACAGTTGTTTTGCAACTGATAAACCTTAAACAATCTATACACAATATATTCAATTTATTAATTGACATGTAAGAGTTTTGAAGTTTATACATTCAAATCTGCTATGGCTAAAAACACTCAGTTAATACAGATAGATTTTTGGAGATACGATTGTTTCAGATAGTCACCCTTATTTCTTTAATATAGCATTGTCCAATCTTTTAGGTTCCTCTCTTTTGTAAACTTTATAAGTACAACTTAGTTTCATGGTGTAATTAATACATTCATTTTATAACATTTTATGTAATAGTAACATTACACATTGTGTTTAAATTAATCTACTGCAAAAATTAAAAATGTATATATATTGTTACTGTTTGTTTAGAAAGTCTTGTAAAAAAAACCGTGTGCCAAAATTCTTTTGTTTCATGATTTACAATAACCATTTCCGTTGAATAATTCGTTTTAACGTTCTCTTTCGTATTTTGTTTTAATTGCTAAGACTGAAGCCTATGTTGAAGGGTTATATAATTGTGAGCAATTACATTTAGTCAGAACAAGTTTTGGTAGATAAACAAAAAGGACCAACACTTTGAAAAACCAATATATTTACACTCGATACTTAGGGTCATAAACAAAATGATTTCTCAAGTTCTAGGTTAATTTTTATGTTTATGACTACATGCTGTACAAGCCGCAAAGGATTGTGGGTACATTTTACATACCTATTAGATATTTTAGCTTTCATGCTTAAACTTAAGTTTCTTTTGAAATAGTTGTTTAAGCATCACAATATTCGTGTATGAATTTTCAGAAATAAAGTTTGTTCTGAACACAATTTTAAGATATACACATTTATCAAAATGATAAGTGCCATAAGAAATATTACCGTATTTTGTTCAGAATTAAAATTCAGTAGTCAAACAGAGTCTTTCTAAATAGGTTTTTGCATTACTAAAAACTTGTTAGTGAAAGCTTACTAATCTTAACTTACCGGATTTTGTAATCACATGAAACCTTAATGTTATCATATAAAACTCTTTATATTTAAGAAAAAGCAGTAATTTAAATTAAAATATATTTACATGTGATCAGAATAACAGATACACAATGTTAGTTGAAGCAGTTGTTACGCAATTACTACTGTTTATTTTATGTTAATATTTCTTTAAAATATTTTAATATTCCAGGGACAGTTGAACAAAGATAAGCTTCTTACTCTCCACTTTTGAAATTCGACAGCACTCTTGTTTCACATTATACAGCTTTAGACGAAGAAACAACTTCTAAATCAGAGATATATTGTGATTAAAGTTAATAGGTGTATAATACATTAAGAGTTTTGTTTAATTACACGCGCGCACACATTATTTTGGTTATCCACTCATTTTTTAAAACAGAATAATTATTTGGTAAAGAGTTGTAATGGTTTAATTAACGCAAAAATTATTATAGTTCGATTTAAAGTTCAAAATCAACACTGTAGTAAGCAGGAACAAAATTACTTTTTTCTATGACTTTCAGATTGTGGATAAATAGCAAAAAAATATAATGAGAAAAACGCTTTCTCAGATATATATATTAAAAAAAATACAGTTTTTTAATTGTCTACGATTTCCTCTAATTTTTCACACTTAGATTAAATGGATTTTTGTTGTTTGATGTAATGGAAAAAAATACTTAATTTATAACCAATACGTAAGTCTAAAACGTCGAAAATGCTTCGTTGATCTATTAATGTTGTATTTGCAGCGTTAGAGTACCCTGGACAGAAGTTATGTAAATTCATGATTAATGAAATGTTATCTTAGGAGATAAAAAGGTGCTTCCTTTATATATAACTGTAAAAAACGCAAAAAACTCCCAAAAAAACTGCAAAACACAAAATGTGAAACTGAAAATTTGCATGTATCTCCGCATGGACCCAATAAACCTCCATGCCAAATTTGGTGAAGATCGATCTACAGGGGCTGAAGTAGTGGCAAAAAACGCGTGAAGCATTAAAACACATTGTCTACAATCAATATGTCCAACAACCGGCAATGCAAAGCATCTCAAATGAAGATGCTCAAGGCTCCTGTCTTTAAACACTATTGTTTTGTTGGCATAATTTTTGGATATCATGTATTGCGAGTTTTGAAACTTAAAGTCTCTGGCAATATCGACATGGATAATACATCCACATATCTTTATTAAAATATGACATCCCATTATACTATTACAATCAGACTCAAGTATGCTACTGACGGTGTTCAGGGTAATACAGAATTATAAAGTGTTTAAAAGGGATAGAAAATTCAAAAGATGAGGAAGTAGTTTTAAGTGTAAAATGTGAGTTATAGTCTGTTCAAGTTGAGGATATCAAAGCCAACACCAATGAGATTAAATCTGTTTGGGTTTCTCTTAGTGGTTGTAAGCGGAGAAGGATTTTGGATGGAATTTGTTATTGACCACCAGATGAAACTCATGAGAAACTCTACAGTAAGATAAATAATTCATCTGTTAATGAGGTTATAACTAAGAGAGATTTTAATTTCAGGCATAAAGACTTGGAAATTTTTAGTCAATTCCTGAGGGAGACAGGTTTTTAAAAACTGTTTAGGATGATTTTCTTCTTCAATTATTAACTTCTAATTTCAAGTGATCATTGTTCCTTTAGATTTGATGTTTTGCTGCATATGGAAATATAGAACAATGATATTTTGGTTCCAAATTTAAAAACAAAAATTAAAGGGATGAAACAAGAATTACCTGCCCTAAATTGGGCAACTGACTTAATTAAGAGACACTGATCAAATGATGAAATATTGTAAAAATAAATTATTAAGTATTCAATATAGACAGGTTTCTTAAATATAAAAACAAGGGTGGCTACAAATAAAAAAATCCAGGTTGGTTCACAAAGGGTATGAAATTAAAGAAAAGCATTATAAATATAAATTTCAATAAAATACACAAGGTTAACCATAGTCTTTGTCACATAATTCAAAGTTTGCATTACCAATATAATAGCTGTGAGGAAAATGGCTTACATACATAATTTTCAGGTTGTTCTAGTCATTTGTTACAATAAATAGTATATTTCTTATAATTTCTATTTTATTATGCTTCATGCCTTTTTAAGATTTATATTAATTTTTAATAACAACGATGTAATCCTGATAATGGCAGATGGCTTTTATTTATAATAAATGCAAGGTAATGCATGTGGCACATCACAATTTGAATTAGGAGTATAATTTTGATGAGAATAACCTTAACAGTGATAATGTGCCACATAAAAGGCTTATTAAAAACGTTATCTCTGTAGGTGTGGGAGATTGGTTGGCTTATTGGATAGATGGAAGAAAGCAGAGGATTGTTATAAATGGAGCTCAGTCAAGCTGAATTTCTCTCACAACTGGGGTACCTCAGTGTTAGAACCTTTGGTACTTTTAATACACATTAATGGCATATACGGAGTGGTCATTAAATTATTTAACTTTGCTGATGATATTGAAGTTTTGGGTGTTGCTGTATGTGAGGAGAAGGATGCTGCTTTTCAAAAGAATTTGGATTATTTGGCAAATCGGTGAAATAAATGGCAGATGGGTTTTAATTATAATACATGCAAGGTAATGCATGTGGCATATCACAATTTGAATTATGAATATAATTTTGATGAAAATATCCTAAACTGTGTTATGTAAGAAAAAAAAAAAGTATCTTGGTGTTCAGTCTCTTAAACCATCCAAGCAATTTATTGTTGTTAGTGTTAAGGCAAATAGGATTTTAAGTTGTATCTACACAATATTGAATACACATCTAAAGCTGTTATAATGTCATTGGTTAGACCACAAATGAAGTACTGTGTTCAGTCTTGGGCTTCTTATTTTATAAAGGACATTGAATTGTTGGAAAAGATTCAGAGGAAGGCTACCCAGACAATACACCTGGGATGAAAAGGTAGTTATATGAGAATAGGTTAAGATACAAAGAGTAAAAAGGGATCTAATCGTAAAGCATTTAAGATTATAATAGGAAATTGATAGTGCTGATGCATCATCCTTTTTTTTAATGGAATGGCAAAACTAGGGAACATAAATACACAGAAGTCTGGATCCATAGGGAAAAATACACAATGCATTCTTAATTTACATATTATTCAAATTGCATGCTATTAAGAGCCATATACATATAAATTCTTGGTATACTGTGCCATCAGGGTATTTTCTTTCCTGAAATATATACAACTGACATTAGAAATGTGTCTAACTTTAATAATGTCTATTTTCCCTATGGGTCCAGACTTCTGGGACACCCTGTACATTTTAGAAGGGTAGGAGTCATTTTCAGCTGAGGCAGCTTTATTTTTTATCAACAGGGTGGTTGGTCTTTGGAATTAGTTGCCTACAGATGTGGTAGATACAGTATATTTAAGGGATTTTATGGGAAGGCTTGTTAAATGTTGGAATTATAAGGGCTAGCTTGGAGTGTTTTGCTTTTTTTGTTGAAGAGTTTAGTATGGTGGATGAAACAGCCTAGATGGACCAACATGTCTCTTGTTGTCCTTAACCTGTATGCATGCATGAATACAAGTACATACAAAAGGGTTCTCTGCACTGGCCATCCCTAATTTTGAAGTGATAGACTAGAAGGAAGGTAGCTAGTCGCCACCACCTACTGCCACCTCTGGGGCTAACTCTTTACCAAAATATGGTGGGACTGACTTTCACATTATAAAGTCCCCACAGATGAGAAGACAAGCATGTTCAGTGACTGGATTTTTTCCCATGACCCACAGATTGCAATTCAAGTGCCCAAACCACCAGGCCATGCCCAACAACTAAAGATAAAGAACTATGTATCTTTTAAATCAGATAATACTTCTGGGTTATATTATTGTCATTAAAAATTAAAATAAATCTTAAAAAGCCATGGAGCATAACAAAATAAAAGCCATAAGAAATACACTAGTTAATGTAGCAAATGACTGTAGAACAACCTGAAAATTGTGCAGGTAAGCTATTTTTACTCACACAGCTATTGTAGTGGGAATGCAAACTTTAAGTAAAGAATTATGGAGTTTTTTTAAGAAGTAAAGACAATGGTTTAAGTTTGTGTACTTTACTGAAATTTATATTTAATTTTTGGTACTTTTAACAGCCCAAACCTATAACATACAGGAATGGTCATATGAATTGAAACAAAATATTCTCTTAAGTGTACCTTCTGTTCTTTTTTTTTGTGAAATAAGTAGCAATTACTTAGATAATATGAGAAATAACACTGGTCTAGTCTCTACAACTAAAAATGTTTTACTAATTCTACAATAATAATTACTGTACACTTCTGAGCTACAAAAACATTTATAGTAAGATGAATTTTTCGTAATTAAGTAATTATAAGTTCAAACAATTACAAATAAGAAAAAAGTAAACATATATTCATCAGTTTACTTTACAATTCTATCCCATGTACAACTGACAAAATAGGGTTCAGTTGTTCAAGATAGTGATAATAACATGCTAGAAAATATTTAAAATTATTATAAAATAGCAGTACCTTTTATTGTTTGTGAATCAGGAAATGTCAGATTTCAATTCTACATTAAAGGATAAACTTAAGAGCAGTCTGTCAGACATACAATATTTTAAGCTTCATAAAACAACACAATAGAGATATATTCTAAAAGCTCCACAATGCCAATAAGTCTTAAATAAAGTTTTATTGAACACCATATTCTACCAAGATGTGTATAAAAGTTTCAATAAACACCATATTCTACTAAGATGTGTATGAGAGAATTTCACTGAACAGCACATTCTACCAAGATGTGTATGAGAGAATTTCACTGAACAGCACATTCTACCAAGATGTGTGTGTATGAAAGTCTCAATGTACGCCACATTCTACCAAGATGTGTATGAAAGTCTCAATGTACACCACATTCTACCAAGATGTGTATGAGAGAATTTCACTGAACACCACATTCTACCAAGATGTGTATGAGAGAATTTCACTGAACACCACATTCTACCAAGATGTGTATGAAAGTTTCGATAAACACCACATTCTACCAAGATGTGTATGAAAGTTTCGATAAACACCACATTCTACCAAGATGTGTATGAAAGTTTCACTGAACACCACATTCTCCCAAGATGTGT